ATAAAAAAATTAAAAATATGTATTTTTTATAATATAGAGACAAAGTAAGTCTAAAAAATAATTGAAAAATTAAAAATATTTAAAATTAAAAGTTCAAGAATGACATTTAAACCGTGTAGTATATACCATTCACCAGTGATCCAACACGCAAAAAAAACTAATGATTAAATCTCAATTTTAGTCACTGAAGTTTTGTACAAACTTTTAATTTGGTTCTTAACTAAATAAATTCTTATTTTTAGTCCTTAAAATTTTAAATTTTGACTCTTTCTATCCTAGATTTTAGCTTAGGGATCAAATTAGGCATTTGTACAAAAAGTTTAGGAACCAAAATTGTGGTTTTACCTAATGGTAGTTTTGTGATTAAATAAGTTTTTAAGGCTAATATGAACAATACATTTGGTCCACATCATCAATTTTTTTCATGTGAAATTTTCATATCATTAATTTAAAGAAAAACAAATAAAGAACTATTGCTCATGACTAATGGGACGATTAAGCACTAAGAATCTCTAAATAATTAGCACACATTGTAAAAGCATCAATAGAAATATGTAAAGATATAGAGAGATTATTCTAAAACTTTCTATTTATTATTGGTAACTACATTTATTTTACCATTTAATCCTAACACAAAAGACTAGAAGGCATAGCGATGTAGTGTCTCCTTTCACTATAATGTCTCACCAACATACTTTGTCCTTATAGTACTAGAAGGATCCAACCCCCCTTATCACCATCATGACAAATCTCCCCAAATGAGCAAATAGAATTCTCTTTAGCCATAGTTGACCTTACCTCCTTTTCTACAGACAACCTAGAGTTGACAGTATCCCTACCTTCCTATACATATAGCATGGAACTAACACCACATCCCCTCCCAATCAAAAAGGCCTTTAGTTCCCATACTTCCATAGTACCTCGAAGATCATTGACCCCACCAATATTTCAAGTAATTCTCACCCTAAATTTCACTCTGTAAATCATGTAATAACTTATTACAAGACTCTTGTATTTTATATATTTTAGGATAATAAAAAGACCAAAAAAAAAAAAAAAAAAAGGGAAAAAAAACCTTCAGCATTGCGTACAACCTTCCTAATCAAAGCCTTAATTGAATTGGAGGGCTTATTCCTTAAGCAACTAAGTTGAGGAGCTTAAGACTGAACCCCAAGGAAGTTTGGGGCTAAAGTTATGATTCAGCTATTTTTTGCCACTAGTTCATAGACAGAATAGATTGTCTACGGTAGAGATCAGATTATCGATAGAATGGAAGGTGGTGCTAGAGTCACAGTGAAAGCGGTGGTTATCATCGCCGGAGACAACAACGTTCGGGGCTCCCTCCAATTCATTCAGGATCCCAGCGGTATTCTTTCTTCGTCTTTGTGCATAAGCTTATTGCTTTTGGCTTGTAATTTGGAAATTTATACTGAATTCAACTACATAACAATATCCACAGGGATTACCCATGTCAAAGGGAAGATAACCGGGCTCTCTCCAGGCCTTCATGGCTTCCATATCCATGCCCTTGGCGACACGACAAATGGCTGCAACTCTACTGGTGCTACTTTTTAAGTTCTCTTTTGATTCATTAGGCTCATAATAATCATATCTGTAAGTGTGTTTTGTGTGGTCTAAGAGTATCTGGGGTCATACAAGTGGAAATAGCTTGAATTGTTTGAAATCTGTGATAGCTTAGGTTGATTCTAATAATCTATGAAGTGGGTTTATAATGCTATATGACTATGGTGGGTGGTTCTGTTACTTTTGATTTTGTAATTTATCTTAGGGCCTCATTTCAATCCACTGAAGAAAGATCATGGAGCTCCAAGTGATAAAGAGCGGCATGCTGGTGATTTAGGCAACATTATTGCAGGCCCTGATGGTATACCCGTTTCTGTTTTACATGTGTTGGGTTGGCTGTTATTTTCACATAAAGCATTGTGTCTATGCCTATGATATCAATTCAATGTCTCTTTCTTGCAGGAGTTGCTGAGGTCTCAATTATAGACACACAGGTATGAGAGATTAATCAACAAATACATTTTTTGTGTGCTTTTTCAATTGTTTAGCAGTGTGAATCAAGATGGAACTTGAAAGTGATTTATGATAACAATACAATGTCTAACATCTCATTGTTTTATGGTATATTCAGTTTCTATTTTGATAATGGAAAATGAAAGTGATTTGATTCCTTGAAACATTATCATTTTAATGCTCATTGTAGTTAATTGCTTCGGAAATGTTAGGAACCATCCAAAGTGCTATCAAAATTAAAAAAAGAAATTGAAATGATTCGTAATCCCTAAAGCCTAGTTAAGAATTTTTGTTTTTGGAGATTTGATAAATGCCATAACATTCCTTCTTGCTGTTTCAATTTGTAGATTCCACTTAGCGGGCAGCATTCAATATTGGGGAGGGCAGTTGTTGTGCATGCTGATCTGGATGATCTTGGTAAAGGTAATTAAATTAAGTCACAAGAGCTTTCCTATGTGATTGGAATATAGGGTTTTGTGGTGGACATTTGAACAATGTTTCCTTTACATGGAACTTGAAAATCAGGTATTGAATGAGAGCTATTGTTAGGCTTTGGGATTTCAACAACATTAAGATATAACTTAAGTAAGCCTTAATCCATAACAGAGCACTAATAGAATGTGAAATCAAAATTGATGATGATATTTCAAAATTACTAAATATTACTACTCGTTTCCAGTTCCAGAGGCCATCAAAGGGCAGATACAAGTTTGATTATGAGTAATATATAATGATAAATATGGTGTATGGTTTTGGTCATTTAACAAAATCATATGTCCTAAGTGTTGAAACAGGTGTTATGTGTGCTCAAATGATTCTGTAGGACAGTGCTTAAATACAGGACCAATCTTTGTAAATTTAAGCACCAATCTTTGTAAGAACAGGAAAAAAGTTCTGCCCGCTGCTATGATCAGCATACTTCTGAATAGAGAGAAAGAGATATTATAGGGGATAAAGTTTTTTACCAAGAAGTTTAAAACTTCAATTCTCTTAATTCTGTCCTGTAGAATTTTGGATAATCAAATTTCCTTATTCCAGTTTGGAAACAGTAGAAGAAATCTATAGATTATATTGGTTAATTAATTTATTCATTTTACCAAAGAGATGCTTTGAAGTTTAATGCATTTTAAATCAGGAGAAAAGAAGGATACACATGGCAAATACAATTCCGCATTTCATGAAACTACTCTTTTGTTTTTAGGTTCTGCAGTCCAAAGTAGAGGGATTGAAACTAAATGTCTATATATGCATTTAGCCCTCTGACAAGCAATGCTCACCCTTGATCACCTTAATATTGCACTTATTCATCTGCTTCCTCTGCAGCAGTTTGTGCATTGCAACTGGATTTTGCACTTCATTTATCTCCCCAAAAGGACTTTTATGGTTCTGGTTTGTAATTTGTTTACACCTTGGGTTGCGTGGATCTGCTTCAAGTGAAGGACCTTGAGAGCCGAAAAATTAACATGATTGACAGTTCCTGTTTTGATGCACTGTCTTTATTTTCTGAAAAAAGAAGAAAAAGAAGTATAGTAAAACTTGAGTGTAGAAATAGACTTCTTTGAGCTTTTGAGTGCTTTGTTTCATGCTATTGACAATGCCTTGAATGGTAATACAATTGTCCCTCTGTTGGTTTGATTATGAGGTGTTCATGATTTTTTGTTTTATCATACATATTCTAGCTAATAATATTGACCAATATGCAGGTGGTCATGAACTTAGCAATACAACCGGCAATGCAGGTGCACGAGTTGGATGTGGTAAGAATTCTAATTTTACAGTTATTTAGCATGGCAACCCAAATTTGCTTGTCTTAAATGTTATAGGAGATCGCAATTTTGGTGTCATATATTCTGCCACTCTTTTTCATCTTCTCTCTCCTTCTCGTTTGAGTCTTTACCTTTGCAATATGGAATGTTACTGACTTCTTTTATATCGATTTCTAAACAGGTATTATTGGGCTTCAATCATCTGTGTAAGAAATATTGCTTGCAGTTACCCTTCAAGACATTTCAACCTATTATCAGAGTCTATAATCTTTTTTAGTATTTATGCATCTTAGACGAATGATTAACACATTTCCAGATGGATGATAGAAGTCTGTTCTCTTGAAAGTTGAAACTACTAAGATGAACTCTTTTTGGGCAGATATTACAATTGTGTCTCCAAAAGCCTCTCTATGTGCTTCTTCTTCCCTTTTTTTTTTTTTTTGCCATAATCAACTTTTGGCCTACAAGGGATGGATTTAGTATTTTTACGGCCAAGGGCAATTTTTTTTCCCTTTTTTTTTTTTTTTTGTGTCGTGAGTATGGAATGATAGTTGATTTCTATTTCGTGATAAACTCATAAAAGAATGAGATTTGGTAACTGACGTAGTCTATGAAGGATCTTTGGAAGAATAGATTAGGAATTACGTTGAAGGACTGCACGTATGTTATAACATTTACAAGCTGCAGAAATAAGGA